AAAAGGGATTAGCCGTTCGTCTTAATCTCAAACATCTATCTGAATATATTCGTCGCGAAACCCAATCCCAGCAAGCCATGCCTGCTCTCAAGGACTCGCAAGGCACATTGTTCAGCACGGACGAGGAAAAGGCTGAAAATTTAGCAAGATATTTTGCGAGTGTATTCAATCAATATCATGCTTTGTATAGAACATCGGATACTGAGAAGTCTTACAAACCTAAATGTACCGAAATCTTTTTTGACCTAATGCCATACGATATATACTGAAGCATCTGATGCCATCTACGTCTATCCCTTATGATGGTATCCCTCCAATAGTTTATAGACATTGTGCTTCTTCATTGTGCAAACCATTGCTCCATATTTTCAACATTTCGATGCTTATGGGTCATGTTCTTGAGTTATGGAAAGAGGCAATCGCAGTACCAATTCCAAAGATTTCCAACGCGCAGCTTATTTCTGAGTTTAGACCCATTAACTTGACTCCCACTCCAGTGAAGGTCATGGAAAAATTGATAAGAGACAAAATTTTCTCTAGGATTAATAAAATCAATCCCCTGCCGATAGAACAGCACGGATTTCTGGCGGGTTATTTTACAGCAACAAATCTTATTGATTGCTTACATGATTGGACCAAGGCCTTGAATGCAGGGCTTTCGATTGATGTCGCTTACCTCGACCTCTCCAAAGCTTTTGATAAAGTTGCTCACTCTATATTTCTATCTAAACTAAAAGCGCTGGGCATCAGCGGAAATCTTTGGAAATGGTTTGAATCCTATCTGGAAATGAGACATATGACTGTGAAGGTGGGAAATAGCTTTTTGGATAGTACCCCTGTACTAGTGAGGTACCACAGAAGGTGTTTTATCCCCATTATTGCTCTTGATTTACACAATGGACCTGATACCTTCCTTTGCTTTAGCAAAGTAAAACTCCAGCTTTATGCTGATGACATCAAAATATATGGTAGTTACAGTTAAGAAACTTTATCTGATGTGCATAATGAGTTGGAAAAGCCATTGATTTTATTTTTGGTTGGGCTAGAAGAAATGACTTGACACTGGATACAGATAAATGTATGCTATTGCATATGGGTGACTTGGATTAACCAAGTTATTAGATCAAAGGGTATCCCGTTGAAAAGTGTCGATACGGTCAGAGATCTTGGAGTTTTAGTTGATGCTGAAGTTCCCTATCCATATTGATAAGGCAATTAAGAATGCTTATAGGGCACTTCTTACGCTCTTTAGAAACACGCACGTTGAAAACGCTAAAGTGATGATTAGACTGTACAAACCATACGTTCTACCTCACCTCGAATATTGTTAGCAGGTCTGGAGCCCTAGTTTGAAAAAAGAAATAAGAAAAGTGGAGAAAGTCCAGGATACATTTACCAGGCTTCTATTTCACAGAGTTTCTCTAGGAGCCTTCTTCATGCCCAGCTACAAGAGTAGATTGAAGGCTTTCTCCCTACATAACCTCCTTTGCAGAAGAATTTGCAATGACCTGACATTTTCTTTTCGCGTTCTAAAAAAGAAACAAACCTGAAGCCGAGTAAGTACTGGGTATTTCGACCAAGCTCAACCAGAATGGGTTCATTCAATTTAGATTACGGGAAAGTAATGAACAAACGCTATATGTTGGCGTTCAATTCATTCTTTTGCCGCACAGCTTGATGGCTATAACTACTGCCAAATGAGGTTTTGGGCTCAACCACTAGTGAAATTTTCAGAAGTAAATTCAAAAAGACTTCAGTTTTAAGTGTTTAAGAATAAGTGAATAAAACTTCCCCTTCAATCACTGTATACTCGTTTATATACTCGTTTATCTTCCTGTTGTTGTCGGGTAGTGGGGGTTAGGGGAACCCAATGCTTCCTCTCCCTCCAACCCATACCTCTCGGTGTGCGGGAAGGATGAGCTAATACTCCTCCCTCCCGCACACCCCTGTCATTTGGGTGTGTGGGAAGGTGGAGCTTGATGCTCCTCATTCCCACACACCTTGTGGGGTTATGTTTATTTCAGGCTCCGAGCAGTAGTTCTGCATTGTTCTGTTTATTCGTGTCAATTCGCTACACTGACTTATTCCACTTCCGCAAGGATATGGGTTTGGGCAGCTGCTGATACTTTACTCTCTACTTTCTGGCCTGTATTCTCTACGTCCTAATCGAGTGAATCTATTCGCAAGCTGGACGTAAATCTCACTGATCGTGCTGGCGCACACGCGACCCTTCCTTTTCTCACGCCGTCACTCGACACTGTCAACCCGCTCGAATACCCAAGATACCCAGCTATAGTCACATCGTCGCTGCTCCTTGTCAACAGAAATCCTTCATCACATCATCTCGGTTTCCAATCTTTACGGTTGCACTGACCGTAGCTTGTAAGAAGATCTTGAGCTGTTTTGTGTTTTAGCTGCCCGATGTTTGGTGCTTTTAACATACTTATACGCAGTCCACAAGTCGACTTAGGTCCGGTTCACCCCTTTCGATGTTAGTGAAACAGCTCGTTGAGTCCTATTAACTTTTGACATTATGCAAAATTTTGTCGCGGAGTCCTGTCCTCTCCCCAGAAATTGGTTGGGCGAGTTTGCCTATACACCTACACACCCGCTTCCACCACACATACAAATGCTTAATTGAATAATCAAAGAGAACTTTGGGTGCAAGCAGGGGGCATGAGGCAGACTCCATTGAGCCTTTACACCAATGAAATGAAATCGTAAGTGCTATAAACAAGCTCAATACGTCCCTTTTTACTCCTAGGGGAGCTGGACTTGAGCTGCTTGATGGTTGCTTGTCTTGTTTTCTCTTTTCTGTTAATATTTTCTTGGTCTGTTCCGGTTTTGGCACGCCTTGTGCGTAACATATAAATAAATAAATAAATCAAGATAGCAAAATTATTTTGAGTCTACTTTCTTGCATGTGAGGTGTTTTCGCTCTTTTTCATTTGCATTTTAGTAAGGAAATATTATATCACTTGGGGCACCACTAGATTTTTTCGTTTTTCATCTAGCACTATGTCAGGGAAAATCAAAAGTGTCAGGAAAGATGTCAGGAAAGAACAAAGATCAAGATCAACACTTTTGCTAACAAGGGATCATTTCAAAAGGTGCTACGGTTGCTAACTCATTGTCGCGTCACTTTGGCGAAATCTTTTTGTAGCATCATTACCCTTCAGTAAACCTACTCTCTTCCTTTACGCAACATTTACAAAATTATGCCTTTAGTTAGACTAAAGGCAGTGTCTCGCCAAAATTGATGTAATGCGAGTCTCTACGATATTCGTTAAAGGACCCCCTGGATAAGCTACCGCCCCAACTCCGACTCGATTCGGGCCTTTCTGCGCCGAGAAATTTGTCATCAAAGTGGCCCGCAAAGCACGATTTGGCTCGCACCGGCGGCTCCCGGTTTCCCCCTTGTGCGTTTCAGCATGTCCCTCCACTTAGCTCTTACCTCAAGGTGTCTGCCGATGTGGCGGAGGCGACGCTGAAAAGGCGCAACTCGTTTGCGTTGCTTCCATAGGGTTTTCAAATGTACACTTCATGCAAACTTGGACCCGCATTGATTTAAACAGAAGCGAAAGGCTTGCACTGTGCAAAAATCTCAGTAATCACATTTTGGTGAGACACGACAACGTGAGAGCGTGGTGGGCCATGCTTCAACTGCCATGTAGGACACGTGACCCACATGGTGGGTCAAGGCTTAAATTTTTTCAAAATGATTGAAGGTTGTGGCACGCTTTTGTCTAAAAATTTCCCGCTACAAAAAATGGAAAAATGGCTCGTTTGCAACGCAGAGGTGACGAAATCGCGCGAGATTTGATGTGTATAAGCGCAGTAGGACTAGGGAACAAATATGAAAAATTTTCAAAAACTCATGTCAATGAAGAGCGTGCCCAACTTTTTTCCAAATTAGGTTAGTAGTTGTCAACCTAATGCCCAACTGAGGTTGACAAGACTTCCAATTCACATATTTTTTCAAAATTTTAAAAAAATGTGTCCTACGCTTGAAGCTTGTTATAAAGTAACATTTTGGTTCTAAACTCCTCCTCTCCTCCTTGTAAGGATCCGAACTAGCAACGATGCCGGTCATTCCGAGGAAGAAAGCGCTCCAACTGAACAACCTACGCAGCTGGCGGGATCAAGTGGGAGATCGTAGAAATTGATATTGGCAAGAGCGAAGTCGTTTCACTGATACCCATCTGCCACCCTGGTGCTAAGCCCTGGTGCCTAAATGAGACAACCGGAGTGCGGATACATCTCATTTAAGGGTATTTATTTTAAAAAGTGCTGGAAAGCTACCAGTGGTCCATTTAAGTGCTAGGAAAAATGTTATTGCTGTCTTTACATTAATTGCACATTCAGTTTTTTTCTCCAGTTGCTCATAAATTCTGTGCAGGAATGCGCCGCAGATATTGAAGACAGATTTGGAATCAGCGTTTTATGCACTCCAACATGGTATACAACCCATCTCAAAAGGCCACTTCGACCAACCATCCTTCCCTTGTTAGTTTCCCTTCTAGTAGCTTTCCGAAACCAATATCTTTCCTATCTTAGATTAGATAGCCAAGTATCTCTCTGCTACTAAATCACAGTTTGAACCGCAGCGAAACATTACAAGCGTGACCCACTGTTGAAATTAGCTTGCAATAACGAGGAAGCCAGTCAGGAACTAGCTCAAAATTGTAGCAAGCATGCACTCTATAGGTTATTTATAAAAACTACGAAAACTCCCATGATTAGATAACCTTATGGCGCAGATGTTATTTTGATCCAATCTCAGCTCTAATTGTCTCTCTTGTTGTGCAAAGTCTCTACAGATAGCAGACCATCAATGTTGGTTGCTCCTTCCTAGACGCTCCTAACATTGTGCATCTATTTTGTATAAACATAGTATGAAATCAATTATAAAATAAGGGTAAATGGAGAATAGCAAACGGAAAGTTATCCGAAATATCACAATTTTGATATTTTTGGATTTTAGTGGCAACCTGTCTTAGTCAGTAACTTTTCCTGACCTCGTTTATGTTGTTCATGATGCATTTGCTGCAATTCAGTGAACTCAGCCGCAGTTGATGATATCGTGTTTGGTTGATGTGTTGCTGAATATATACAAGATTACTGAAAAACGGCAAGATGTTTACATACCTCCCAAGTGACTACGAACTCATCACCAGGCAAAAGACCCAGCTGCAGTCTTCTTGCAAGCTTCGCTCCAACGTTGAATGGAGGTGTATAGTACGGCATATCGATGACTATGTGTTTCGCGTACTTGCTTAAAAAATTCTTACGTCTTCAAAAACTTCCTTGAAACAAATATTGACTAGTGAACGCTCTTTTATGATCAAGGCGGTTGCCTAAAAATAATTGAAAATCTAAACACTTTTGCTTGTGAGTAACTATCGATATCGTAAATCTGAATTTTTCCATTTTAATAGGTCTTTTTCCTCTGCACATAAATACAGAAATACCTGATAAAGTCAATGTTTCCTTGAAATTCCTTGTAGATTCGATCTTTCTTAAGGTCCTTAACAGGAGCGACAAAAGGAGTCTTTCTCAATAAAAACATCATGAACGGCGATTTTTCATGCAAGGATTGTGTGAGCAAATTTACAAGCTGTGATGCATATACAATACAATGTCTGGCTTTTCATGTTGTACAACTTTCTTCGTTGCCTTTGTCAATGCTGCACACCAATTCGATAGAGATGGGCATCCTATCAAATAAAAAAAGTTTCAGCGAGCTAATGGGTATGAAACTCCACCAGAAAAGTAGTTACAAAACTTGACAAAAACAAACCGCTTCCTGAAAAAAGCCTGAGGCTGCGATAGCGTCCTTTGAGTATATTGTGAATCAACGGGTATGCTCTATAAGCAACAGAGTTTCTAAGAACCAAGACCTTGGCAGTGGCATTTCCTTTCTGAATAGATTAAAGAATGATCAAAGTTACTAGAAAGATTACGCCTAAGCCCTTGCTACTTACTAATTCAAGTTCCATAGAGCATGCGCAGCACAACGCAACTAAGTGGTATTAATGGAATATGTTTTCTACGTGGAAAATTGATTGCGTTTTCAGCACAGCATAAATCTATTTGTGAGAGGATTAAAATCCAGGAACACGGCTTACGAAAGATGGATAGTTTTTTTATACACGCATTAACAATTTAAACATCATCAACTACTTTTGAGAAGCCCAAATACATCTTCATACTAAGTTTTCAATTTTTGAAGATATGATATGTGTCTTAGTTGTTTGAATTACGTTTCGAGATCCATGTGTTTAGAAAGGACCGGCCCGCCGCCTTTCATGTATGGCTCAGCACGCGATGCGACTCCCAGGCGAGCGCGTTCCTGTACTATTCGTTTCAGTATGCACGGCGAACATACCTTCGATAGTCTAGAGACAGGGCTTCAAAAATGAAGGTTGTTTGAACATCTGACGTCATAAATAGTGAAGGTTGTCCAAAGAAGATCAGAGATGAGAAAATGACGTAAAACGGATATAAAAAGCAAAAGAAACGGCTGAAAACCGGATAAAAACGCTGCAAAAAGGTTTGAAATCTTTCAATTGGCGACTTTTCAAGGTGCAAGTTTTCGCTCCAGGACCAGCAATTCGCAACATGGGGTTTTGATTTTTGATGCGTCCTTCAAATTTTTACCCCCGCATTGACGTTCCTGATTCCTGGGACGTTGTCTGGATTGTTGCGCTTATTTTTCTGAGCAACAATCGCCTAAGCTGGAAAAAAATCGCTGCGAAAGCACTGAAACAGAACAAGCTAAAGGAAAACGCACTTTTTACGATTTTTCGCAAAAAATTCCACAATAATCGAAGAGATAAAGGCTGGGTGGTTGTCTGCATTATGAGCAGAAGCAAGATCTATAGAATGCACGAAAAAACCACGTGAAAAGAGTTGAACTAGAAGAAAAACAAGAGATTGTCAAAAACAAGGTTTTTTCCAGATTTCTCGATCAAATCAAAGAATGTGGTTCTGGGACGTTGTCAGCATGAAAATAGAGATCAAGAGCTTCAAAATGATATATAGCTTGCTAAAATTGTGTTCGAAACAGCGAAGAAAAGGGTACCAGAGCCAAATGCCCCGCGCCCCGCGTTTGGGGTAGCGAGGTAGCGCGCAGCGCGCGGAGACGCAGACGAGCAGCGGAGACAGACCAGAGCCGAAGGGGCATATGGCTCTGGTCGTAGATCTCTGCGGGGTCTCAACGAAACCCTGCAACATTATATATCATTCTGATCGTCATGACACGGCGAGGAAAACTGGCAACGTCCTAAGCTTTGAAAGCCACTCATTAGCGAGATAGACCAGCGTTTTCATGCGCGACCCTCTGCGAAGATTTAAACGCAGTTTCTCTTTTAATATAACTCCAACAGCTTTCCTAAACTTCAAATACTCAATTTTGTTTAAATGAGAGGTTAGCAGAGAAATTTCGTCTTGAATTCTGGCGAAAATTCCACAGAAACCTTCCTTTCAGCGTAAGAAAGGCTATAAAACGCAAATTCTTGGTTCGCTGAGATAAACTAACGATATTATTCCTTATACAGGGTGTCCCAAAAAAATGTGAACACTGTTTGATCGTTAATAACTCCGTTGCTTTCATGTCTTTCGCCGAGCTTGAGGCACCATTCTGTAGAGCGAGGTTCAACTTAGATTTGTAGTATGAAGCGAATCATCGGTCGGTGTTTGTTACTGTAGGATTACGGTATGAACTTCTAGCATGTGGATCTATTGTAAAATATGCCATTTGACAAAATTCTTTTCAAAAAATCTGAAAATTTGTGTACTAGGGTTTTCGCGCACGCTGATTCCATTACGCAACTTTTTGTAAGTGTTTTTAGCTTTTTTGACGGTGTAATCACCTTTCTGACAAATGCTGGGAATTCATTAATACGATTTACCTGGGATAACCTTGGAAGGAAGCATCACAGACGGCGGAAATTTCATATTCGATATCAGCGGCTTCCATTACCATAGTATGAGAGTTTTTGGCTTGTTTGGTTTTGTTCCTAGGCAGAATATGGCCTCCAAGGGCCTAAAATCCTTGTCGAAGTTTCTACCGTAATCCTACAGTAATGAAGAGAGATCGACGATTCGCTCCATACTGTAAATCTAAGTTAGATCTTGCTCTATAGAATGGTGCCTCAAGCTCGGCAAAATACATCAAAATAAGAAAGTTATTACCAATCAAACTGTGTTCACATTTTTTTGGGACACCCTGTATTTGCTTCGATAGGATTCGTTCCGAAATAACCAGGATGATAACATCCGGGGCTTCGCCCCGGATGACTTCTGTTTTTTTCCAGGTGAAGGTTGTGTCCCCTCATAGCCCTCAAAGTGAAGGTTACCAGAGTACGTGGCTCTATGTATCGAGGGTATGACGGCGAAGATATCCTACCGTAACGGTTTTAGGTTTGCGATTGTGGGATATTGCTTCTCAAACATTTCTTCTCGGCGAAGTTCTCATTCTTTGTTTGGCAAAGTATTATACTATAGTTCACCAAACAAAGTGAGTGCTGAATCATTCTAAAGCCACAATTGACTCTGCCCACCAAATGGAAAGTGTTTGGAATAAAGAAGCAAATTTGCCAACGAGTTCAAATCAGGAAAGATAACAATAACTATGCATCACGATTGTGGATCAATCAGCCTGGTGGAAACAGGCACGTCAAATAATGTTCATTCTAGGTAGTATGTTTCATGCAAGTCCAGTCAGACCGAAAGCTTTATCTTTCACTCCTTCAGAAAGATTGCAAAAGACGAGATTGGTAGCTGCTATATGCAAAACTAAACGAAAAACCTTTCTTGCGCAAAGCGATTAAAACCCAATACCTTCTGCACTAGAAAGACAAGGGTATATTATTGATCAGATAGAGGTAGAATATTGTTTAAATCCATATCTTTCGCTTCGCTAGGAAAATGCGGCATCAGAGTTGGACTTTAAAGACGATAAGCTATTCACGTAGTGTAAAAAAATAAGTTCTTGATGCTACTCAAGGATACCATTCTGAAAGTATTCTTAGATGTGACCAAAAGTGTTCTCTGGCACCATCCGAAAATGAACAATAGTATCGCATTTACGGAATCGTCACGGCAACTTCTCCTAGCGCCGGCAGAATATCGTTTGAGGATTTTGGAATATCCATCGGACACGAATCATCTGACATTGTGGAGTTTGTGCTACATTATTCAAAAAATTAGCAAAGCGAGGCTGAAGGAGAAGCTTGTGTGGAACTATATGAATCTTCCTTTTGTGGCATGACTGCCTGTTCTGCCGTTTTCTGCCCCAATATCTCGTACGGATACTGAGGTTTTAGTTTTGTACCGTAAGCGTCCCCGTCTCGGCTTGTTTGGATGTCCGTTTATTATGGCTATCAGCCTTGCCAATAAATCCAATATAACCTGCATACTCAGTCTTCAATCAGCCTTAAGCCTCGGACAGATTTCACGCGATTTGATCGTCGCGATTTAATCGCCGCGATTTTCATTCATTTTCATTTTACATTCAAAAATTTCGAGCTGGAAGAGTATCAAAACCGAAATGCAAGCTGATCGGCAATGCAATGAACTCACAACAGTTGTCTTGTAGCGATTGAATCGTTACAATCAAATCGCGTAAACTCTGTCAGAGGCCTTAGAGTTTTCTTTTATTCTTCCTCAAACACCTATGGATCGCTAGGTAATTTCAATGTGATAGCGTAGGTTGCAAACTCAGGAACCACGTGATACTCAAATATTATTACGCCTTTACGATGTAGGCGCCGAAGCGCGCCTCAACGATGAGGAAGTACTGCGACGCGGACGGCGGCGCGTGCTGAGTAAGCATCCCATGTGTTCAGCTCACTTACCGCAACGCATTGCAGCTCAGGCTCATTATTCTTGTAATTGGTGTACCGCTGAGTATCACCGTCTTTACTGCACGGCATCGCAAAATACTTCTTACGAGATTCTCTCAAATTCCATTTAATAGCGTAGCCAATTTCTAAAAATGTTTCAGTCAATAAAGTTGTCGAAATATTCATTAATCTGTGTGCAGTACTTGAGATGTTTGGATTGATGCTTTCGAGTGGAGGAGCGTAAAGATACATAGACTTTGTGCCAAGAATGCACGCATAGCAGGCAATCACGCAAAGACAGGCCGTTATGACTCCATTCTTTTCAAAAAACTTCTGCAAACGATTTCATGGAGATTATCGTACTCCCAAAATACGGATGGATAAAAAAAACTCCTAACTTCAAGAGTGTGGTGAATTGCTACCGACAGCATGAAGCTAGCAAAAAGTACAATCGCCACGCCTTAAATATGTGCTTCTTCTATTCTGAGATTTATTTAAGCTTTTTAAGTTCTATGCAATCTTGAAAAGCCAAGAATGCAAAAGCCGCCCAAGACATACTCCTAGTTCTTGCAATGTATAAACCCCAAACTTTTACAAAGTGTTTGGAATTCTGAAAAAAAAACATTGTTACTTTTCAAACTCAGCGCTTGAGAATCCGCAAAATATCGGGTTGCTGATATAATCGGCCAGTGAACAAGATACAGAACGTAGGATATGTCTCCGCAATAAACTATGAAACCATTTGTCAGAGAGAATGCATCTGTACTGAGATAAACCATTAAGCCAGCCATTAACGTTGACCATATCCTGTGCATTTGTAATTAGGAACTTGATTATGAAGGCAAATATGCTTAACAGCGAATTTTCTGTCATGTGGATTATGCTTGAAAGCTGACATACCTGGCCGTATCATCGGAAACATACTTTGGGCTAATAACCACTGTCACGACTAGGACAAACAACAAAATATTCGTGAGTGAAGATCCACTCGAGAAACCCGCATTCGGTACTAAATGCATGTATGACCAAAAGTGCACTGATTGCATCAATACCGTCAAATAAGTAATCCTATCAAAACTGCTGCTTTTGCCGTTCCACTTCTCCATGTAAGCTAGTTACCAAATTGGCTCCTTCAGCGCCTTTTGAACGATTGCCTTACTCTTATACACTTTGCTCTAACATTCTCGCCGGAAGTCGGCACCAAATGCAGACTTCTGTAGAAAATGTTACACAGAGACTTCCAAGACTTATGTGATGCATTACATTTCTTAGATTATTGTCTCATTGAATGCAATAATGAATGCCGAGTTATAGAGCATAAAGGAGCATGTACGGGTGTCTCAGGAGCATGTATACACTCAATAATCATCAACCCTGTCACAACGTATTCTTTACGCTGATACAGATAGATCGAAAATAAATTACGATCAAGAAAAGGCTGACTTCTAATTTTACCGGTTCCAAGTATTCATCTTGCCTATTCAATTCGATTTTGGGGCTAACTTCTCGTACATTTATCCATCTGTTCTTCTTCAGTCATTGCTTGCATGTTTAAAAACCCTTAAACTTACATTTGGCTTAGCCACTGCTTGTTCTACAAATGCTGCTACTACATATGGGAACACCTCCCTTTTAGTTGATGCTGAAGTTGCGTAGGTCTATTTTCTACCCATGCCCGCCCTCGCTCACCCACGTACCACGTAAATAACTGAAATAGACTGACAGAACAAATCAATACAAAGGTGCGCGGTCTAATCGGCAAACTTTGGAAACCCGAAACCTTCCCAACAATGATATGGAAGGAAACTACAAACTGCGCACGCCAGCAACTCCAAAAACCAAGGAAGCAAAAAATTAGAAAACAAAACTCAAGCTTTCGATAGAACCGACATACTTATCCAATAAAAAGTCAGCAAAAACGTCTCACAGATGAAAAAAGGCTCACACTCAAAATGAGCATGATGAGCAGACGAGAGTGTACTTAAGTTTTGAAAAAAACAGAAAATAGACGTTTTAGGCGTGATTTACTTGCTCCAACCTGAAACTGTTCTTTCTTTACGCTCAGACTAGTGAGTACGGTTAAAGCTATTGGCGCATTCACTACAGTCAGTGCGATCGGTATTAGTGGTGCAGCACAAAACCTTTAGGTTTACAATTTGGAATAAACCGCTTCTCAGTATCGTGCGATTACCACCAAATTTTCTTGCACATTAACTTCTTTGTCATTTGGCAGGTAATTCCATTGTTACGGAGAGGTTCTAAAGCAATTTTGTAGAGGTGTTTCAAAGCACGGACTTTATACAAAAAAGTTTGCATAATTGTTTGCAAACGTCAGAAACCGGCTGGTTCTGTTTCTAGGCTTTTTGAGAACAGAGTTTTCCCTGGCTTTCGCAAAATTTTACGAAATTTCCTTCGATTTTTTTTGAGAGCGGCGACTAGAAAAAACTCACCTAACTTGTCCCTGTTCGGACTCACAAAACGATATCCCCTTTGCTTTTTCACCCCAAAATCAAAGTAAAGCCTGCTTGCAAATGAGGCCGCGCCCTGGACGTAATTCAGCAAGTAACAGAATTTTCTGCTTTATCAGCTTTTCTGGTTGACGGCGCTCGGATGGTTGCTTGAATCACTGTCGCAATTCACAGTAAAATAAGGTCCTATGATTTTTTTTTACCGTAAACTTCAGATATACGGTCTTTGCTAATTCTCAGATGTTCCTAAATACCTGCTTTGTCAATCTTTGTCAACCAAGCACATCCCTGTAGCCGAGGGCATGGCCGCCCAAATCACTTTTTTATAGCCTGTATAGAATTTGATGTTAGTAGCAACTATCTTTGTGTAAGGTTTAGATAAAAATACTTCACAAACCTCTATCAGCAACATAGCTATATCTTGCAATTTTTTTCTTGAAAAACCATCATAAAAAATATCTTTCAACATCTTTCTTTACATCATTGAACGCAACAAATTAGGTAATTTCCTCTTCTTCTTTTATTCAATTATCACTGCTCAAATCTAAGAAACTTAGTAAAATGCATAATCCTGGTTCTTTTTACTATGGATCAACTGCGAATTTGAAGAAATGTTCGAATTCGTGAACAGTTCACGAACGTTTGCCAACATACCCTCGTATGACAATTTCTTGTCTAGTTTGTAAGCATTTTCTAACGAATTCTTTTCTTCTTGGCGTAGCAGACTCTTGTCTTTCGAAAGAAATGGTTTCGAGAACTCGTACGTTATCGACCCGCACATAAACTGCCAGATCCGAGATAGTAAGAAACCATAGGATACCTGAAACAGGTTGATTATAAATTTACGGAGGGAAAAAGCTGCTAATATACTAATTTTCGATTGCATTGTGCATCTAAGCTGACAACATTTTGAAAACCACACTTGAATACATTTAAATATTTTAACGTTAGCAGTATACTTGGGTAATTCGATAATTTTTCATCGAATGAATGAATATCGAATAAATTCGAAAAGGAAAAATCTCGAATAAACGAATATCGAATAAATTCGAAAATAAAAAATCTCGAATAAACGAATGTCGAATAAATTCGGAAAATCAAAAATATCGAATGAATGAATTTCGAAAAAATTCGGAAAATCAAAAATATCGAATGAATGAATTTCGAAAAAATTCGGAAAATCAAAAATATCGAATGAATGAATATCGAATATATTCGAACATTGGAAGTCGAATTTCGAATAAATATTGGAATGATTTATCGAATAACTAAAGCAATCACATCTCAAACTTGCCGACATATCTGGCTAAAGCCGATCCAATCATAATCAGCCCCCTAGTATCCTCTATACCAACTTCTAGCTCAAAATTTTCCAAAAATTGCTGAAATCAATAAAATAGATTTCGGTCTTAATCAGCACCCTCACTTACCCCTTTGTACCAACTCCCAACCTCGTAGCTCAAGATTTTCCAAAAATCGATAAAATCGATTAAGTAAATTTTTATCCGCAATCAGCACCCTCACTTACCCCCTTGTACCAACTCCCAACCTCGTAGCTCAAGATTTTCCAAAATCGATAAAATCGATAAAGAAAATTTTTATTCATAATCAGCACCCTCACTTACTTTCTTGTATTCAGTATGAACTCAGACCTTCTTTGCTGATTTGGTGCCAATAGCAGTGCGAACAATCTCATTGATCGAAAAAACATCAATTAAAATCCATATCTGATTTTTTTACTGTCGCAAGCAGTCGGAAGAATGCGAGTCTCCATACAGTTCAAAGGTATACCGGTTGCAAAAGACGCATTACCGAGTTTTGCGAAAAAAAAACGCGGACGAAGTGAGCTTGATACTTAGCAGTTGGCTCTGCAACAAAGTCGAATAATCTGAATACGGAGTACATTCGAATACGATTTCGAATAAACATTCGCATAAAACATTCGAATAAAATCTATTCGAAACCCCGTTTTTTGATTATTCGAGTTTTCGAATAATATTCGAAACCTCGTTTTTTGATTATTCGAGTTTTTGAATTTTATTCGAAACCCTGTTTTTTGATTATTCGAGTTTCGATTTTTATTCGAAACCCCGCTTTCTCAATTATTCGAGTTTCGAATGTTATTCGAAAATGGAAGAACTCCGAATATCGAATTTCGAATACGAATATATTCGAATGTTTTATTCGAATGATCGAATTTTTATTCGATTCGGACCCAAGTATAGTTAGCAGTGAACTTGGAAGCTGTGATATGGTACACGCTTGAATAAATACACAATAACGAAAAACTACAGAAAGTAGGATACGATTTCTCAAATTTCTGCGTTAAACTAGAAGTTGGGAATTTTCTTAGAGGCTGATGAGGATGCTATTTAGAGGATAAGGCAATATCAGCAGAATTGTGTTCTTTTATTATTTTTTCGACTTGCGTGGGACTTAAAACATTAAAAAAAAGCACATCCAATAGTGCTCAAGGCAGATTTTTTCTCTTTCCGGAAAATGGTATGCATGTTTTAGAACTAAACTTTTTCATGATTGCTTTACTAGCGCCGATATTTTAGATTTATTACTTTTACCATATATGAACTTAGCTTGTCGTTTTGAAAAACTTCGAAATACTATAAAAATTCAACTAACAGCAAACAGAGTAATTTTGCAATGGTGTCTTTTCCAGCTCCTTCCTGTTTTGCTTTTTAATGTTTTCAAAAACTAATACTAAAGTTGCGTTTATGTTTAGATTTATGTATGCCCTCAAAGTGCTCAAAAAAAAAACTCAGGAAAATATGATAGAAGGAAAATCTTGGCAGGAGAAAAAAATTTATGAGACACTGTTTTTCATGCTAAGTATACCACTTGCAGAATGCACCTATGATGAACCGATAACGAAAATTTGCATGAGAAGAAGTGCACAGAAATGGCGGCGAGGTCTTTGTAGTACGCACGTCCTCCCACAGAAATAGCCTTAACGGCTAAGCAGAACCAACAGATTATTAGCACCAGAAAAATGTCACCGTCCAAGGCGTAATGTAAGCCTTGAAGGCGTCCGAGATTAGACTGATTTAAGTATCTATCAACCCAACAATTTAGCCTAACAGTACCTGTGGTTTGTTTAAGCAAATGTAATCAAAAATCACACAGTTCAAAGCAATGAGCCAAACTTTAAGGGGTGGAGGAGTGACAAATCATTGGAGGGGATGGTGAACTAACAGGGACTATCAAACAGGTACGAATAACAATCACATGATTCTCCTTTTACCTACTCTCAGTACTCAATCACATCAAAAAGCAAACACAAGGGTTTGAAAGCAGCTGAAACGAAGAAAAAAATAGAGTAGAACTTTGAAAGATTCTACGATGAAAGATAAATAAGAAGAAGTAAGAAAACAAAATGCATAAAGATTCAGCCTTAAAAGCCCAAGAAAACCGTAGCACTAAAAGCCTGCACAATACGATAAGAATGCAACAAAATCAAAGAGAGCAATCACTGCATCGTTAAAGCGATCTTGCACAGTTTTAGAAAAGGTAACCAATGTTCTGATTTGAGTTGATAGGTTTCAGCGATCGAAACCCTAGTACTGGTAGGTTTGTAGATTCAAGATTTGTTTACTTAATTTTCCATGCGAAGAATTTGGGCAATCATCAAGTTAGATCTTACATCTTGTAATATAAGTCAAGTCCAAATTCTTAGCACTTACATGGCAATTGGGAATTTCAATGTTACAATGCCTATGCAAAGGAAGGCTAAGCCAGTACAAGTATGTTGGATTTCAGATTCTTCAACTTTCTCTGCTTGCGAGTTAGTATAAACTTGAACAATATTGAATGCTGGGGTTATAAGCTTTGTAGAACCTAGGCAGTAACATCATTAGCAGTATGCTCATGCGAAAAATTTGATCGGCATATGTTTTGCTGACAACCGATGCAGTATGCTTGGAAAATCTCAAATCACAATCGATGTAACTTCCAGAAATGCATCTGGACAAGCCACTCATCTCAATTCCATCATTGTTATAAGAAGTTGAAGAATGCTAACCATGATGAGGCAGAAAACCTTGTATAGGATGTAAGAGAGTACAATTTTAGCAGCCCAATTTCATTACCATTTCATCAGTCGATGACCGCAGTACATTATGCTGTACAAGCATTCTCTCCATTGTATATATCTTTACACGTCAGCATATGTAATATCACATTGTTTTCAATGTTTCGGCCAGACTCAAAAGTATATCAATTTCGGAGGAGATAAACAGCCTCTTATGGAGCTCCACTGGGAGAATAAAATTTTTCGAGTATGCATGAGCAATTTTTACCCGCTCTTCTAATTGTTCGAATAAGACTCGAAAGTTTTTGTTGATAAGTTGCACATAGCATAATATCAACATTATTATTCCCCAGATTTCAAGGGTTTTGAAAAAACACACACATATCAAACAATGAATGATGGAAATGGGGGCTTAATGCTTGAATTCATAAGAATTTTTGTTCCCAACTATGACCACGCGCATTCAGATCGTGGACCGCGATCAAGACGGGATGAAAATTTCGAGAAAGAGAAGAATTGCAAGAAATGATACATAAAACACTATAATCCGGTGTTTCTAGAAGTTTGGGCAAATTTAATTGGTAACAGCCACCCCCGAGAGATAATATCTGAATTACTATGAAACAAACGGAAAAGAACAGACTAAAATACTGCACTCAAACAGTTTGCTTCTGCTTTCTTGTCACCTTGGATAAAGGTCTAGAATGAGATCTGATTCAAAGTATCCTTATTTTCAAGAATTCGCAAGGTTTACATATGACGACATAAGAGGATCACTTCGAGAACATGGCATGAGAAAAACCAAAAAAACTGCATCGAATAGCTTCAGCGCTTTTGTTTATTATCGATGTGTGAAGCGCGTTTGTCCATAACTGCTGAAAAAGCTCAAACAGCCAAACTTTTTCAAAAAATGAGCAACAAACACGTTGTGGTTATCGGAAGCTCACGATCTCGCATTTTTCCAACTAAATTGGGAATAGCAAACGTGTTCTCTTGGTAATCAAAAACTGCGTTCTTGAATTTCGGACCTTTGCCTTGAAGGAATTGGTTACGTAAATTGTAACAGAGCAACGGCGGTTCCAATATCTCAAGAGGAAGGATGGAAAATGTAGAGTAAAAGACAATTTACATACATTCCTTCATCTATAAATTAACTTAGAGCCTAGTATACCAGCAAGATATAACACCGTGCACTTACCTTGGGTGGAGCATAGAGTTGGAAAATGACAGAAAATACTCCAATTGTAGAGAACAATTTAATGCGTGCATTGTGTTCAAAGCAGAGTGCTACACCCATGATAAATGGTACAATAAGATAGTATTGTAATTCCACTCCGAGAGACCAGGCATGTACAAAAAATCGGTATGTCGAGAGCTAAATTTCTAATGGTCATAAACACTGTAATGATCAGCTGTGCAATTTGATTAATTACCTGATCCCAATATCCAAGCTTCTGAAAAATGGGCTGTAGATTAGAGCTGTAAGTGTATGCCCAAGTCAGATCGTCAAGGATTTGTTTGCGATCGAAACGCAATACGTAGAAGTAGCCAACTGCAAAAACACCAAAGATCTTGCACATTTGCTACTGATAGTGACTAGGATACAGAACAAAACAGCTGCCTGCATGAGCATGGCTTCTCGAAACAATTTCAACAGTTATGGAAAGCTTCTACTGACTTACAAATGTAAACGGATACGACGATTATCATGTACAGAGGTACAATCCTTTTGAATCTGCGGCTGTAAAAATACCAAACGAACCACAATGTAAGTTTTTTCTCGAGGAGGATTTTGGCCATCAGAAAGCCGGAAAGGACAAAGAAGCTGAATTTAATTCAATAATATTGCCAAAAATTTGAATAACGAATTTACATGTCTACTCCCACAAATCCAAGGCGATATGAATTTGGCTTCAAATGCATTAGAAGCACAAATAAGATAGCTACTCCTCTTAGACCTTGTATATCTGCACGTTTCTGCTTCGTGGACGTAGTGGCATTGTGCCTGAAAGTTTCAAAATGATCAGCTTTCGAGGGCTACAATGCAATAATTTCACAAACTTTGCTCCACATAAAACTTCTCTCTTGCACAGCGCTGCATTCAAAGCGAGGAGGTTCATATTCGTTAAAGAAAGTCCCTGGAAAAGCATACTATCAATGAAGCCGAAATGCAAAGATTCCGCAGTTCCGCTCGATAGATTTGCTATACATACAACTTAACTTGGTTTTTCCGTTATCCGGACCCATTCTTTTTAAAATGTTATCATGAAATACATGCTTCAGCTTAGAGGTTTTTTCACTGTTCATGTGAGGACTGTCTTCTTGCCACATGTCAAGATAAAAAATAACACGTTTCGAGCCATTTTAACACGTTTTTTCACAATCATTGGTGAGACACGAGAGCACTTGAAATGGCTTGAAAGCTGTTCAGGGGTCTTTTAAAAAAGCATAATAGTTTTAAACGTTTATTAGAACATCAGCTTTCAGCAATGATCTAAAGAAATCCTGCTTTTCAAATTGTTTCCGCCATGCGAATTTAGCAGCAAAAGAATGTAAGTGATGGCTTAGAGTACCTGGCTGCCGATTGTTCCGCCGTTCGTGTAGATGATAGAACAATAGCCTACCTCTCTATTTTGAGAAAAATTTCAGATTGAACTTACATCGATACGTAGCTAAACAAACTCTTGGTAAAACCTGCTAAACACGTAGATGGCATTTGAAATTTTGTTTGACGCTTGGCAGGAGGTTGACTCTCCATCCTATAAAGTTTTTGTCCAATTTGGTGCAAAAAAAAGAAGCAATATCCTTTTTCGAAAAATGGGTCCGGATAACGGAAAAGTACCCTTAACTTCTATGCATACAAAAACTTTCTTGACCAAAACAAAGACTGAGTGACTGCGTACAGTGTACAATGAAGAATTTCTTGAAAGATTAGGTACGTAATTACCATAGATGCGTGTCTCACGACAGAACCATCGATTTACACTCACTGGGGCATAGGGGAGAAGTAGAATTTGACAAAGAAAAGGGTTCATACGAAAGTTGCCCATACAATTTTCAGAAAGTTGAGCAGCATGTGTATGCGAAAAGACCTCTTTCGAACTATTCCACTCAAACGAATCTTAAAATATGGATCGCACATGAAAAAATATTTTTTAGCTGATTGAAAAAGTGCAACACAGAAAAGTAGGCAATTTCTGATGTAACGAGTTGCTTTTTTTCTCATACGGAAAAGGCACAACGAATGTTCCACTTCGTAAAGCAGTTAAAGATGGAAAGAATGCGGTTGCGATTTCTGACTTGAAGGTGGTATCTTGCAAGGGTTGCATGTTTAGTCGAAGTGGCCTTTTTAACTGGAATGTGTACAATATCGAAAAGCATTCCAAATCTGCTCTCCTTAACTGGGGAAAACATTTGTGGATGAGGAGCTATGAGCAATTACTGAAGCAAAAAATCAAAAGTGAATGCATGATAAAAAAGCTGCTAAAATCTTACTAGCCCACAAATAGAGCAACCAAGTGTGATACATCATTTTGCCTTGAAGTATTCATTGAATGTGCTCTGATATTCACCACCGCTCCATCGAAGCGTAAAAATATTACGACTAATGTGTCATACTTGCGCATCCAAATTTTTGCTCCGGTAAACGCTCATAACTCATCGTCCGAAAGCGTTCCGCAATTAGGAAAGATATGAAATCAGCGTGGCGTTTTATGCCCTCCAATATGGTATACATTCATTCCAAAGTTCGGAAGAAGTTACGTGTGGATCAAATAAAGCGATTTTCGGACTAAGGTAATACATTTAGATTCTCCTAATCTGTTTTATTATAGCTTCAAAAAATTATTTCTTCGGAGGTCCCGCTTTTTGGCAAAGTCGAGAAACACGCAACTGCAGCAAATACACGAAAGCTTTTGAAGGTTCTGGAATTGAAACATGATTCTTGTTAAACATTATTTATGCAACAAAACCAAGTTTGACTTGCTCTGAAAATGCAACTTTTTGGAATTTTTGGTACTGTACGTGGTAAACGTAATCAAAAAGTTGCGGTTTTTATTGAATGAATAATTATAACGGACTTGGTAAACGTAGCCCATGTAATTTATATTGGGCACAATATAGCCAAAGGTTTGCTCTACATAACAGTACCAGCGCTCCTTGAAAACATCACGATAAAATTAAAATTCAGAAAAGATTTGCCGTTACTGCTGCGCTGCTCAATAAGCCGCGGCGATAACACTGCAAAGACAGGGTAGATTAGAGAGCAAATATAGCCGTAAAAAGAGGATAAAAATCTAAATCAAATAGTGCCTAAGTCGTCCATGGATTGGTGTTCTATAAGTTTTAGTGAGCGATAAAAAAAAACGAACAAAACTTTGGGGGCGACCTAATAATAGCAGCCTTATGAAGAAAAAGAGCTTAGAGTCTTGCAAAAGGATAGGTGGTGGCGACTATCATGTTTACATGTTTACATTGAATGTCGATTTTTAGGACGGAATAAGAAAGGATCTTATTTGGAGTCTAAGTGAAAACTTTTCAAGTTTGCTGTTGGAGTCGCCATTACAGTAGCACGCGAACGCATCAAAAACTACACTTTATTCTCATCAAGGTGAAAGCAATTATTCGAACAATGGGGCCGCTAGGCATAAAAAACAGTGCAAATTTGTTTTGCAATGAAACCGCTAAGCATAGGGAACAAGGCAAATATTTGATGAGGTTAAAGGCAGCGTCCAGCAAGATCCATCCATCCAGATTAGCATATAGTTGTAAAGAGGGGCCCATAAGTATCCGATCTGCGTTGGTCCGATCCTTTGACGTGCCCTCTAAAAGGAGATGCGGGCCTGTGATACGTATCACAAGCCGCCCCTTCGTATCACAAACCACCTCTGAGGACGTGTGCTCACGCATCGATCGATCATGGATTACAACTGCACCCAAGCATTTTCAGCTCCTCCTCAGTGGCGAGCCGGGGAGATTAACAATCCGAAACTCGCCCGCGTCCTTAAATCAAGGTCCCAGGAGTCGGAGTTTTCAAGGATTTTGGACAATTTGAACTTTATAACTGTAACCAGGGCCGCGGAAAGGCCCTAGAATGACGAAAACATGGGAGGCAAAATTTTTCCCGAACGTTGCCTTTAGAACGTTGCCTAGAGGGGTATTCAACATGCTGATAACGAATATGCTTGAAATAATAAATAATAGATAAATAACGACTTTCTCGCTACAACAACGTTTTGTTCTGGAGTTATGGCAATCTTCGATGAACCACTACTTGCGAGCCAGGCACTAAGAAAATTCACAACCTTCAGATTCTACTTCTGTCGAAAAGAAGCTTAACAGTGCCGTAGTCATTGACTTCTTGCCATGATAAATCACATTTAATAGGCTGTGATAAGAGTTAGCCGCCGGATGAACTCGCAGCTGAGGCAACACGTACTCGGTACGTGCTTTGTTTCCAGCATCGTGACCGCTACAGGGGGACCGCTACGAGCCAACGAGCATTGTTACAAATTCCAGCGAGTCATGAAATACAGAGAGGCAGCACAATCTGACTCTATCGTACAAAAACAACATCCTCAACGCGGTTGTGTAGTGGGATTGACTTTAACCGCTGTCAATGCGCCAGTCCTATGTTTGCAGCGTATGAGATGTTTCGAACATCTCATACGCTGGAAATTAGGATGGTTTTGAGGCTGTTTGTAAACACAGATATTGGTGAGCAGCCAGTGAAGTTACGTTTGGTATTTCCCGTAGGTAGCCCCTTATACGGAGGTAAATGCTCTCGTTGCGGCTGCATACAGATTGAATTAGTCCCTCTTTCTAAGTACCTTCTGCACAAAAGCAGAATTATCGCTAAAGCAAGAAAACTTTTGTTACAGGTCTAGTTAGTCAACTTAACATACAGCTTTCTCAGAGCTGCTAGCAATAAAAGAATGGCAAAAGCCGTGCTCTTCAGTCTAATTTTTGTTGCTCCATGGAACTGGGAGTGCTCAAATAATGCTCAGAACACAAAAATTTTGGATCGACATAATATGGGTAAGAGGAAATTAGTGGAACTCGGTCCCCTTACTTATGAGATGTTCAAAAACATAAAGATTACGGTATTAGCTGTCAAATTAGAAAACCTCTATTCAAAAAACTCTAGATGCCGATTTCTCATGCCTTGCTTATTCAAAAAATATCGAATATTTATTGGATGTGCTTACATACAGACAGCGAACATGCATTTGGCTCATTGCATATAAATCAATACATTACTTATAAAACTCATTCATATATGTCTGTGCAATAATTGTCGGTATCGCACGTATTCATCTGGCAAATGTAGCGCTTCGACACTGTTCTGCAGTGCACATTCTGCCAGAAAAGCTGAAATCGTTTGATACTTAGTGTTGTCCGTGTTACAGTATTTTTCCTTATCGGAAGTAGTGCACTCAAGACAAACCTCGAAACTGGTAGATGTTTGAGCAGTCAGGACACAGTTTGCATCTCCAGTCACATCAGGGAAATTTTTGTTCCATCTTGTGTAAAGGGAGCCTTCCAACTAAAAATCATGCTTTCAATATCAATCAAGATATAGCAATCCAGTGTGGAAGGATGTAGCGAAATTCTTTCTGGGTTTGATCCCTTAGGCCGTTCCCAGAAGTAGCCACCAGTCGTCTTGTCGTAAGACAAACCAATATGGTACATGTAAGGTGGTTCCATCCTGTAGTCGTTTGTGAACATTGCTGAAACGAAAATACTTGGTTTTGCTCAAAGATAGACTGATAGTCAGAATTTACATGCAATGAAGGTATGCTTTGCATGGTCAAGAACAGAGGCAAGATGACCCGATTCATGGCCGACTCTAATGCACGATTTCTTTGCAAGGTTCCAGTTCGAATCAATTCCGCCTGCAAGTTAGGAATAAAGATTGTTTTAGAGTATTCATTACTTGAAGAGCCCAAGTTTTGCAAACAGCTCACCAATTCTCAAACACGATCCATATTTTACAGATTCGAGAGAATACTGCAACCATTGCTTCCTACAGAAACATTTGACTAAAATATTAGCATCATTAGCAGTCTGGCTTATTAGTGATGCTCGTTAGAAATCAAATTTACTTTGGCACAGTGCATGCTGTAGCTCTCCCGCTAGATTGGCATTTGTGTTCATGAAGAAGTATCCTTCAGTGGCTATCTGTAAATGAAATAGAGCATTTGTAGAAGAATTTTGGAACAATCATAAAATATTTTTACCTTGCGAAGTTCCAGAATAGCATTTGGTCTGCCTCCCTGGTCGAATGCGACAACGATGATGCCTTTTCCACTGATCTTGATCTGGTCGGCTAGCTGTTTAGCATCTCCAAAGTGGAGCTCCCTAGAATGCAAAATTGAGCTAGGAGAAAGAAAAACAGCACTGTCGATTATTGCATCGATACTACGATGTTCTTTTACCAAATATTGCGGTAGGTAAAAAATCTAATTTTACTAACTTGTAAACGCTGGCATAGATGATGATGGCCTGCTTGACATTCTCCCTGACTCCTGCCGATCGACCCTCAGCGAAGAGTTCCTCAGCTCTCATAAGAGCACTGAAAGATTGGTTATGGTCTATCAGATTCCAACCGTCTTTCGAAAATTCTCACTCTTTCAGCTCGCTAGATTTATCACTGGCTTTTTCAATCTCCCAAATCCTATCCAAAAATTCTTCAGTTGATTTGAACTCATTGAGTTTATGGATCTGAATGGTGCATTCACTCCGAGAGACCATTTTTAAGCACAAAATTTACTAATATTTACCGATTTCGCCGTGGTTCCGTATGTAAGGATTCCAATTCGAGTATGATGCCCTTCACCCTGGGTGATATTTGTTGGATCAAATACCGTACCCAGGTCGGCGATGACCTAAGTATTGGAGATTAGTATCACAGCGGTACATGTAGACCTTGCTGATTTCATGGGTTACATCAGACTGCGAGATCGCCGCCTCAACCTCACAGGTAAGCTATACTTACCTGTGCCATTCCCTCCATGGTCATACCCATGGAATTGTCAATTGCAACCACGACATCGAGCCATAGCTTCGATGGTGTGCATGGGCATTCTCTTTCGTAGTAACGAGTATTTTCTTGTGCTCCAACCGCAATCAGCAGCCCTAAACCACAATGTTTGAAATGTGATTTAGCATTCAAAGCAGGTAGCTAACTTACCCAATAGAATGACCCTGTTGAATAAAAGTTTCATAGTTTATCACTGTCCCAAATGACTATCTAAAATAATTTCAAAATCAGATTTTAGAAAACTACCCTCTTCGCTGTCATCTAGCTGCAGTAGAGAACGAGATGCAAATATGGTACTTTAAAGAAGAAGTTGAAGTGTAGAGCAGTCGTACTGTACCTTTTATACCAATCCATGTCACTTGTGGAAGTCCGTAGTGTCACATTTTTTCTCCGGTGTTATGTCATGAAACATCCTGTAACGTGCATAAGATGTCTTCACTTGCCCTTCCAAGCCAAAGAATCAGATTATGACATCTTTCGATAAGAGAACTGTCACGATTCAGTAACTTTTTGCAATTTGATATATACACTTACATTTTCGGGTATATATGACGTCAAATAAAAGACGGTACTCAACAGGATGCGGTTTTATGGCCGTACTTCGACTTCTTAGAAAATCGTGTACTGATATTAGAAAAAGTAAAGGGAAGGGGATTATGTGTAAATTATTTGAAAGAGACTCTTAATGGAATCTTGTAAAATCATCAGTTTTTTCCGGAATACTTCATCCTCCCATAAGCTCTACCATTCGCAATGCACCTCACATGAGAGGATGTAACGCATGTATGCTCACTCTGGGATAAATTCCAGAAATAAACCTCAAAAGTTGTTCAAAGTGTTTGTAACTGCAAGGACTGTTACCTTTTGATCTGCCTCAGATTATAGTTCAAACACTTCTCGGATGAGTTCTCTGATAGTGAATTTTCTTTGATAACATTAGGGAATACTCGGCATTAATCTGGTTATCAACTCATCAGTGCGTCACCTCCACTTCGCGGAGGTTCGCACTGACTCTCCTTCCGTATGCCTTTCTCATGTTCGCATGATGATTACTTTGAAACACGCGATGCTGAACGTCACAAATGAATAGTAAACAACTGTTCATTTTTGAAACATCTCCACATAGGGTCGGTAATTTTAAGAAAGAAAACTTTTTTGCCGAGGAGCAAATGCGAATTTGAATGGATTACTGAATTTGTTTTGGCTTGGTAGCGTTATAAGGATAGTAGTCATTTTTGAGCTACATTTCCGTGCAATAATCCTCTGAATTGCAAGGCAAAACCTTACCAAATCGACTATGTACGCGATCACTACTTTCTGGCGCCGTTTTCGGAGAAAAACGGACTTTCTGAACATCTTTTGGGCTAGAATTCATGGCACGCAGATTTACGCGTCAGCCAAATCATGGCTTTGCACAAAGTCGAATTAGCGACCTAGTTTCGCCTGCTAACTCAGACACTCGCACCGGCCGGCGGCCGCTCTTCAAATCTGAACGGAGCTAAATACCGGCCGGCGACCGCTCCAAAGAAATCTACCGGCTGGTGGCCGCTCGAACGGCCGCCAGCCGGTAACATTGCCATGTCGCGGGAAGTGAACGGGATTTGAAAGTTGCATGATTGAGCCGCGTAAGCAAACGCTCTACTTCTCCTCGTTTATGATTAAGCGCCATTTTTCGCCATTTTTTTTAACGCCTAACTCCTAGTATAGACTCCACAAGACAGGTGCGTTCTTATCAGAAATTTGGAACTAGTCCTTGTGTGTTTAAGGGAAAACAACGTTCATTACTTGTCTGCTACAATTGCTTGAGCTTTTTGATTTGCTCTGTCCAGTCATATATAACACCGTCGGTAAGTTTTGGTGTTAAAGGGATCATTTGTAAGTACCCTCGATATTAACCCATATGTCTTCCTTCAATGACGTGGATTATGTGGATTGGTGAGGCGCCGCCTCGCTTCGGCTTGCGCCACATTGCGGGCGCATCGTTTGGCGTGACCTGGTGCACTAAATAAGATGGACCAGGCTTAATAATGTTGTTCTTCTCGCCACACCATGCCAAAGAGGCGCACGCAACGCGTGGCGCAAGCTTGAAGCGAGGTGGCGCCTCACCAATCCATGTAAATCCATGTAATTCACGTCATGTTGAAGGAAGACATATGGGTTGATATCGAGGGTAGCTTATCTCATTTGCAGATCGTCTGCTATGTGGCATTTACATGATACAAAAGTGAACTTTTTTTCAGTCCGGAATCAGCAGAAGGACGATATGCGAGCCCTTGTCGCGAATGGATGGTACTATGCAAGAAAACCTCGTCTTCCATGTACAAAAAGAAGCGTCCAAATTTGTAGCGCTAGTTGCATGTTGTATGAGGCTTTACGCTATTATTCAATCTCATTTATGTATGTTTCCCTATATGATGCAGTTACAATAAATATATTCATACGGATTTGTATTTGCTTGTATTGAGGATAGGCGGCAGAGCGAAGTAAATACGGAAAAAGAGAAACCGCGTCACATGACCATTTCGTATCGCGGCGCCCACATACCGGCTGGCGGCCGTACCTTTCCGGCTGGCGGCCGTCCGAATACCGGCCGGTGGTCGTAGACTACGCGGCTGAGTGAAATCACCTGTGGTCCCACCAGCCGGCCGTCGAACGGTCGCCGGCCGGTGCGAGTGTCTGAGAAAAGCCGCGTGGACCCGTCTGACGCGCCATTTTTTATGTACCCGTTCATCGAACCGGCCCGTCCTTGTGCATAGTGGACCTACATGCTGGTGCGATATGTTATGCAAAACCGTAGCTCGATAGCCTGGCTGCCGCTTCCTCCATGAATTTTGTGACAGACAGACATACACACATACACACGCACAAAAAGACAGACGCTAAGCGCTTTATTATAAGTTATGAATAACAGGATAAAAGTTTTCGCTAGCTTTTATAAACGATTTTGTTTTTACCAAAAATGCGAACACGAGATTTTTCCGGGGAACGCCCATTACTTGTGACTGGATTGCCGCGCTGCCGCGTTGCGGCGGATCAAAAGGCCGCGGCAATCATACCAGCTCCAGCGCTGACAACACGTCCACTTCCTGCTCCGATGCTAAACCGCGTACTTAAGCCCAGCGTCGCTTATCCCACTGTACGAGTTGTCCGCGTGCTCATTGAGGCCGCCTTGCCGTGCGCGGCGAAGCTATAATTGGCACTCACAAGTGATGGGATACACCCAATTTTCCCTACTTTGCGTAACTAGTGCAATGATAATCCTTCTTTCTCGAGCATTATTTATATTTATCACTCCTTCTGTTGAAGGGGATTACAGAGAAGTGGAAAAGTACCGATGATCAGTTTTTTGTAGATAAACGTATAGGCAGGAAAGCACGTAAATCCTGAACGACTTTCTTTAACGAATATGAACCTCCTCGCTTTGAATGCAGCGCTGTGCAAGAGAGAAGTTGTATGTGGAGCAAAGTTTGTGAAATTATTGCATTGTAGCCCTCGAAAGCTGATCATTTTGAAACTTTCAGGCACAATGCCACTACGTCCACGAAGCAAAAACGTGCAGATATACAAGGTCTAAGAGGAGTAGCTATCTTATTTGTGCTTCTAATGCATTTGAAGCCAAATTCATATCGCCTTAGATTCGTGGGAGTAGACATGTAAATTCGTTATTCAAATTTTTGGCAATATTATTGAATCAAATTCAGCTTCTTTGTCCTTTCCGGCTTTCTGATGGCCAAAATCCTCCTCGAGAAAAAACTTACATTGTCGTCCGTTTGGTATTTTTACAGCCGCAGATTTAAAAGGATTGTACCTCTGTACATGATATTCGTCGTATCCGTTTACATTTGTAAGTAAAGACGGTGTTTCTTGGCTGTTAACATGCTTTTGAGAAACCATGCTCATGCACGGAGCTGCTTTGTTCTGAATTCTAGTCACTATCAATAGCAAATGTGCAAGATCTTTGGTGTTTTTGCAGATGACTACTTCTACGTATTGCGTTTCGATCGCAAACAAATCCTTGACGATCTGACTTGGGCATACACTTACAGCTCCAACCTGCAGCCAGTATTTCAAAAGCTTGGATATTGGGATCACGTGCCTGACGAATTGCAGCGTTCATGCACTGCGGTGCTTAATACTGAAAATTTAGCTCTCGACATACCGATTTTTTGTGCATGCTTAGTCTCTCGGAGTGGAATTACAATACTACCTTATTGTTCCATTTATTATGGGCATAGCGCTCTACTGTGGACACAACGTTTGCGCGATGATGTTCCTTTCAATCGGAGTATTCTCCCTCATTTTTCAGCTATACGCTCCAGTCAAAGTGAGACCATAACGTCTAGATTATTAGGTTTCGTTCGGTTATTACGACTTTTGACCTTCCCCTCATATATTATTGGGCTGACATTGTCCCCTTCAATTTACTAGTCTACTTCTGCTTAAAGGCAGTGGCTCGGCAAATCTCAACCTAGTCAAATTAGCGCTTACCTGGAGTTATTCAATACGTTGGTCCCGAAAATCCACTTTTGAAAGCTTGAAAACGGCGAAAATAAGCATTTTTCAATGTCCTTTCCTTTGGAATTGGACGAGTGGAACAACACCGATGACGATAATTGCAGGACCCAATGGTTATAGCGTTGCGGCGGGCAGCCTCCAGTGGTGGGAAGGAAATTGCCAACTCGTCCAGATGCGTGTAAGATTGGCCCGCGCGTGTAAGTTTGAAAGCGATTTTCTCGGCAGCGAAAGCATGCTATGCAACCGGGATTGCACTGTTTTCATACTTGGGCGATAAGGAACCTACCGCGTTAAAATCCTGAGTTGTTGAATTTTGCCGATCCACTGCCTTTAAGATTAGGTTCATACTGATCAAGTTCCGGAACAGTTTACGGTTTTCGCACTGTGGAACTGTGCTGCATGCGTTGCAGCCGCCCGCATGCGGTTTTGAGCGGCGCGAAATGGCAATTTTGACTTTCTTGAGCGGGGGTCAAAGTAAATTTTGCTCGTTTTCACCTCATTCTTGCATCTCGCTTGCTCTTGTAATTAAAAAAAGTTTCAAACTCGGAGGGCGGTACAAAAATGAGTGCTATTCCGTTTTGTGCATCCGCTGAAAACTGCAAAAAATTGATGGCGCTTGTACACATTTCTCCAAGTTCGGAGTTTTTTCATCAGAGGCAAAACAGATCAAGAACGGAAGAGCAGTAAAGGTTGTGCAAAGAAATGAGACTGAAGCGCCTAGAAAAAAAATATAACCCGAACAACTCAAACACCTTTGCAGTTTGCGTGTTTACTTGAGCGTGCACCACACTCCAGCTCCCCAGTGAATGGTCTTCTCAATTATGGTCTTCAAATGAGACTCAAAGATAGCCCTGAATCAAGAAGCAGTACAATTACAGCTTTTCCTTCTCATGAGATCTCAGTGCACTTATTTAAGATATCCTATGGTTTCTTACTATCTCGGATATGGCAATTTATGTGTGGGTCAATAGCTTATGAGCTTTCGAAACCAGCTTCTTCCTTCGCTAGGGACAGACCTCTGTTACCTCAAGAAAAAGAGGTCTCGACAAGAAATGCTTGCAAGCAAGGCAGGATGAACTTGTCATACGAGGGTACGTTTGCATCCGGCATGATTAGATAACCATGTTCAAGTGATAATGAATCCAAAACGCACAAAATATCGTGGAGCTTCCGACCTCTGGAATTCGGATTTTCCTCAAGATCGCAGCTGCTTTACGTAAAAACCCATGATCATGCGTAATCAATTTTTTAGGCCCGTATGCACGTACAGGGCTGATCAACTGCAGTTGCACCAGCATCTCCACTCCCGCGTGGAGATGCTGGTGCACCGCGTGGGAAAAGCGGATTCTCAATCGTTGAGTGTGATTGAAAAGCATGTTCGCGGAAAAGGTGCAAAGCCCGCGCGAAAGTGGAGATGCTGGTGCATCCGACATTTCAATTGATAAGCCCTGTACATCCTCGCGGGGAGGGGAGGGGAATAGGAGGGGAAGCGTCATCGCTAGTCTAGATATCTTCCTGCTTCCTTCTCTATCTGGTATGAAGGCTCTCGTACACTCACACCTACGCATAATAAATTTCAGGTTAGCCATAGAAGATTAGATTTTCATTATTCGGTGTGATCCCCTGGGGATCCCCAAGATCAGCTCTCGTTATCAAAGTCATTCTTCCTGAAAACTCAATGAAAACGCTGTAAACTTGTACTGAGGATATACTACGCACTGCTGAGCATGTTTTCGACAGGAGAAATGGAATCTGAAAGATGTGAGTTTTTCGATAATTTCTAGCTCGCGAGCCGTAATTTATCGAGGATTTCGATATCCTGGAAATTTATTTATTTTAAACTGTTAAACGGTGCGATATTATGTCCTCAGCACAATTTTACAATATTTTCATTGAGTTTTCAGGAAGATAAATGACTATGAAAAGAGATGTAATCTCCTGGGGATCCCCGTGGAAATTTGGTCTTGTATGACAAGTACCCTGACAATCATTTTGTGCAGATATCAGGGTATGGGAACTTTACAAATAATCCAGATAGAGAAAAAAGAAGAAAGATATTTAGAGTAGGGAGATATGTATTTTCTACTATGTATCTCAGATCTCCTTTCTTCCCCGCGAGGATGTACGTGTTTACGGGCCTTAGTATGAAAGCCATAAAACTGACAAGGAGATGCTCAGAACTTAACCCAGCCAAGACAAAGTGTTTTCGGACTCTTCTTAGAGCGCTGATTTCAAATATGCGTTTATTTTTTGCCGGCTATTTGGAAGGAGCTAAGAGCTTTTGAATATGAAAGATTTATCGGTTTTGACGAGTATACTTCCTTTAGAGGAGCCTGATGGCGCGGATTTACAGTGGCTGTTGCTAATTTGATTGCAGGATAGAAGTACATTCTTACCTGAATTAGTGTTTTGAATCTTAAAACACACGTCATAGAACACTTGGCAAATGGCACATTTGAACGCTCATAACTCTTTTCAGAGTCGCTTGGCAGACACTAAACATACATCTGCAGTCAGCGTTTCAAGGCGATCCCGATGATAAGTAGCATGTTTGGTATGGCTGGGTTAAATTATGACCATTTCCTGCTGAGATCGAGGTACAGCATTTCTTCGAAAAATCATCAGAAGGCGTCGAAATAAATAATACGGAATAGCTGTTGATAACTTTCAAACTCACGCAATGGGTGCGGACGGCGGCCCAAGAAGGCCTTTCCGGCCCGTCCGTGGCCTTAATTTGGGGGCGTAACCAGGGTGCGGCCAACCAGCCCTCCGGCGCAGAATTGGCAGGGCCGCGGGGTTTCCCCAGCGGGGGGTCTGCCACTCGTGCGCCGGAGCCCCCCGATTTTCTGCGCCGGATCCCCTCGATTTTCTGCGCCGGAGCCCCCCGATTTTGTGCGCCGGAGCCCCCCGATTTTGTGCGCCGGAGCCCCCATTTTGTGGAGCCCGCAAGTCTGCCGCGGCAATCTGTAATTAACCCTAAATAAGCTCCAAACCCCAATTATGTCTCTAAACCCCACCCAAATTAGCCGAATACGACCCCCCCCCCCGGGTAGGACTTCAGCGCGACCCTCATCCCATACTCTACCCCCCTCCCTCTCACCCCTAGCGTTTGTACATAGAAAATAGAAGAATGAAGACAAGACGAAACATCCATTTGAAATTGACTGCAAAACGATTGAAACTGAAAATTGCAGTTGTTTTGATTTGCATTTAATTCTGTTTGTGCCAGATGTGATGAGATGCAGTTCGATCACTACGGGCTTGGTTATCGGGAGGAATAGCACCGGTCGAGTTCAACGTTGTGTGGTCCTCGAGCGATTCTTCCAGAAAACACACTCTGGATAACATTGGTGGAGTGGCCGTGGAGGTTAATCGGAATTTTTTTGGTGATAGGTGTCGTAATTTGTGGTTTTTCCAGGTTATGTGCGAAGCTCTTGCATCGAACTGTGGCCGATGTCTTACGCTGAATGCTGATTAGTATGAATGTGGCTGGTGTGTTATAGACAACAGATGTGTTAGATCAATGGCATGCTTGGCAAGATCACCACAAGATTGGATGAATAGCACGCAGCTGTATGCAAATCCTGCTAATGAAGACTTCAGTCCTAAAAAGGGACCCGTCGGTGGAAAAACGAAAATCAGGTCTACTGCTGCTGCTTTCACCTGTGGAATCGTCGCTTTTACTAGGGAGAAAGTACTATCAGGTGGGGTGACCATGTGTAATGAGACTAGTGAACCAGTAACTAAACGTACCTTGCCAAGCATGCCATTGGTCTGACACATCTGTTGTCTACAACACAGGAAAAACCACAAATTACGACACCAATCACTAAAAAAATTCCGATTAACCTCCACGGCCACTCCACCAGTGTTATCCAAAGTGTGTTTTCTGGAAGAATCGCTCGAGGACCACACAACGTTGAACTCGACCAAAGCTGATCCTCCCGATACACCAAGCCCGTAGTGATCGAACTGCATCTCATCACAAGCACAAACAGAATTGGATGCAAAATTAAAACAATTGCTCTCTTATATCACATTGTCGTCAATGTCCCGACAGCAGGTTTTTCGCGTTCAACGTTTCCTACTTTGAAGTGACATCGAAAATCCGTCATGAAGATCGGATCGAGGTTTTGGACCTTACAAATCCAAGCTCAAAAATGAGCACTTCATAGAATGCACCGCTCACCTTCAGTGTGATTTCTCTCCTTTCACCTGCAGCTACGTAAAGTTTGGTTTGCGGTGCGACGGTACGTGGACATTTCCGTGGACCTTTTCTCCTAGAGTGACCCTCACGCTGGAATGCAAGGCTTATCTATCATCAGAAACAAGGACACGGAATTTCCCTGCATATTATGACTTTGTGCAAAGTCTGAGAACTTGGAACCTCGAAAAAAAATGAAAATTTCTTGAGCGCCTGCCACAATTTTTAACAGGTAAACTGTAAGTAGACGATATACTGAAAAATGTGAAAGAGTTGCATGAACTTGCATAGCAGATTTGCATAGCAAGAATGCGACAGACTAACCGTATAAGATATTCTCTGAGACAGAGCCAAGCAGTGTACGGATAATCCTGAAAAGAAAGAGATGAACAAATAAACGCCAGCGCGCCGACGAGGAACACGAAAAACCAAACAAAAGAAAAACGAGCGCGAAAGAACGACAAAAAACGAGTAAGACGAGAGCGACGGCAACTTATTTTCGAAAATGCTAAGCTGCGTATCACAGCAAATTGACTGCTTACATATATGTGCGCCGGAGGCCTCCCATTTTCTGTCCCGGACCCCTCCGATTTTCTGCTCCGCGGCTCGTCCACATCTGGCGGACTCACGGCGGGCAAATCTCTGCCCGCGACCCCAACAATCTGGCGCACTTGCGGCGGAGAGATTTGCAAGCCCGCCGGAGGGGTCCGATCTGCATTCTTTGTGACTTCACAAGAAGGGACCGCCCCCTCGCCCCGCTCTCATTGGTCAACTCGGTCCGCCGCGGCTCTGGCAGATTTCGACTGTCCGCCGGAGGGGTCCGATCGACTGTCTGAGTCAGTATATGAACCCGTACACAGCGTGCGGCGATCAACGATACTTTTATCAATGACTTCTCAGTAAAACTTTTTGTGGCTTAGCAAACTGTAAAAATGTGTGCTATTGAACTACATATCAAGTCAAACAAAAGAGGCAAGAAAGCAAGAGGAAAAAGCACTAAAAATGAGCACGTTTTAATCTTAAACGTTTGTCAGATAGCGCACATAGTTGCATTACCCCTATTGAGACTCGAAGATACGTTGAAATCCATACATCCTCATCGGGTTGAGCGAGTCAAGAGAGCCTTACTTACATACTTTAACACGCTCTCACACCACGCGGGAAAGCAAAAATATAGCCCAAAAAAACAAAGCTTTGTTTACCTGAACGCAATGATATGACATCAATTTCGTTCAGCGTGAAGGAGCTCAAACTATGGCTGAAGAAACCGGGAAAACTTATGTAAATGAAAGTTCGATACTCATACTTTCTAGCTAGAGCCGTCCCAGCTGGATACCAGCTAAGGTGAACCCTAAACGTTCTGCTCACAAGATCAAAAAACTAATATAATCGTATTTGCATGTTGGAAGATTCGATATCAGCAAAAAACGGTTTCGTACCATTTCTTTCAGGCATTTTTTGTAGCTCTTAAAAATTTTCGTTGTCGGCGTAATGGTATCCGAATGCAAAGCGCGGTCCTAACCGAACCGAAGCGCGAATCTTTCGTTTTCACTGCCCGCTATGTTTGCCTTTTCCTTGCTTTTCCCTTCTTTTTCATTGTGCTCATTTCTGCAGGAAGGAGGGAGAGGAATGTGGAGAGAGAGAATGAAAGTGGAGGATGAGGGAAGAGGACTAGAGGACAGGGGAAAGAGGCGAAAATCTTTATGGATCAACTGATGAGAAAGAGGTATATGGCGTCTTGTCCTTTTCGGCTTGACGCCTACTCCGTATGGTGAAAAATAAGTAGAGAGTAGTGAGCAGGCCCCGGGAAAAAATGCGGAACTGCGCGAAACTTCATAGAAATTAGAGATGATAGAGTGAGGGAGATTCGCAGGATAGGCAACAGGTTTGCAGATAAAAAAAGTTGACCAAACCTGATCATATCCATAGATCTTGCAGGTATTCCCTGTTATGTTTTGTATCTGCACATCAAACGATATTTCAACATCAAGCCCAAGCGAATATATTCTAAGGTTATTAGCAAAGCATTCGGTTTAAAATTGGCTGGATGGTTTCTTTACCTGCACATAGTAGTGTCGATAGCTTGCGGATTACATACGTATTTGCCGCCATCCACCACTGATCCAACTCTGACCAGGTTAGGACATTGCACCTGAAGCAGCGTTGGGAAAGGTCCTGTGATCAAAGTGTAAAACTAAACTTCAGGAGCGCGATGACATCGTAAAGTACGAAATGATTGGAAGCATTCCACGCGGACCGCAGATCCGTAATTCTTTTTAATGCCTGTCTTGAGTGGTAGTCTCGCACAAAGCACTTCTTACTGCTATGTTTTGGCAGTTAATTCGCCCTTTTCACTATGAAAACTGGCTACCTGCTTCTATCCTGCTTAGGTTCTTCACAAAATTGCCAAGGTCCTTCAGGGCGTTGTAGAGAGAAGATGGTGATTGCTGTGCAGGTGTTTCTTCACACATAACCATTAGAATGACAGCAATCGTGAGGATGCCGACCATTATTTGAAGTGCTGGATAGGCAATGCATCCCACTGGTTTTGCTCGCTGCATCTCAGACAGCGGATCGGACCCCTCCGCCGGAGAAGTGGCAGGGTCGCGGCGTATCCCCAGCGGTGGGTCTCCCATTTGTCCGGCGGAGCCCTCCCATTTTCTGCTCCGGATACCTCCCATTTCTGCTCCGGATACCTCCCATTTTCTGCTCCGGATACCCCCCATTTTCTGCTCCGGATACCTCCCATTTTCTGCTCCGGAGCCCCCCGATTTTGTGCGCCGGAGCCCCCCGATCGCGGCATACTGTAATTAGCCCTAATTAAAGGCAGCTTCCAGGCAGATCTGGACTTATGGGGCTTTTACATGGAAAGTATTTTTGGGGCCCTAACTAAGGCACTGCCGAAGCAGCAGTTCAGGTAGTGCTCTAATGGCGAAGATATTCCCCTCGAAACAGACCCCCCGCGAACGTATTCGCATGGATTCATGGCAGTTTCGCGCCAGGATCCACGCTTTGCGCCATGAATCCATGCGAAACACGGTCGCGGGGTCCGGTTTCGAGCAGAATATCTCAGGCGTTAGAGCACTACTTGAGCTGCCGGTTGGGTAATGGCTTAGTTAGGGCCCCAAAAGTACTTTCCATGTAAAATACCCATAGGTCCAGACTTGCCTGGACGCTGCCTTTAAGCTCCAAACCCCAATTTTGTCTCTAAACCCCACCCAAATAAGCGGAATAGGACCCCCCTCCCCCGGGTAGGAGTTTAGCGCGACCCTCACCCCGTACTCTACCCCCTCCCTCTCACCCCTAGCGTTTATGGATAGAAGATAGAAGAAAGAACGAAGAGATAAGACATTTATTTCAAATTTTTCAAACTTTCGAAAAATCTATCTATCTATCTCCAGCATACGTACAACAGTTAATACATATTACAAAAAGCATACTAGGAGTTAGAGATAAGAATATTCAAAGAGAAACTAATTTCCTAGTTGCAAAAAGAACCTTGTAACACTACAGTATAAGCATATGGTTTTAACCTGGTAAGAAAATGACAAAAAGATCAAAAAAGCATTCTGTGCAACATGAAACAAAACAGCGAGGAACGCCATAAACTCACCTTTGCAAAGCAGGGACATATTGTCCAAGTTCTATATATACATGAGCTATATTCATCCAAACATCTTCGAATTCCGAGGTAGCTTCACGAACTTGAGCGAAGATGTCACGGGCATCTTGCCACATTGCTTTCGATGCTAATACGCAGCCTAAACCAAAACATACGGTTTTTGATCGAAAAAGAAGTAGAAAATTAGTCATTCGTTCCAATACGAAACGTACCTATTATCATCTTCGAATTATCCTGTTTGAAAGAAGAAACGAAAAATAGAAAGAGTGAAAAGGAAGCGTATGAAGCTTAAAAAAAGAAGATGGAGTTAACGAAGAAGTGCGTACCAAGAGGAAGAAATGATCTTCAGGTTCAGCTCTCAGATACTTGAAGATGCATTGTTCCCAAAATCGTTCCATCAAATCCCAATCTTCAACGATTCCATGGCGAATCGGGTACTGCAAAACTCCTAGATAAAAGTTCTGCATAGATATGTATCAAATCCCTACCTTTGCTGAGTAATTAGCTGCGGAAGGAGATAGGGCCTCATCGCCGATGAAAAAATCCAGATCATCAATTTTTATCCAGTAGATGTATTCCAACGAAGAGCGGCTGCATTCGAACTGGCTATTTTGTCCTTTACAGCGATGGCTGTATGCAGTTCTTTACAGAAGATGAACAAACAACAAGCATCGCCAACCCGAAGGGATTATAAACTGAGGTTCGCAGTTTCCAGCATAGCCTAATTTTGTGTAGCCCGTCCCATTGTCAATGACGCAAGCTGGAAGGTGACCAGCCATTGAGCTTAATCGCTAAAGATGTGAATTTGATAAATGATAAAAAAATGATGTAAATAATGATCTATGGAAAGATGAAACAATGCGCAGTTCCACCGAGTAGATGAGGATTGACGTAATTGAGAGGACACGGATAGTCCGCTAACATCAGCAATCTTCTCCAGTAGAAAATTCACAAGCTCGTCCGCTAAGTAGCTAGATGATTCACTCTAACAAGGGAATTCATTCAACTTGAATTCGTTTTGAGATGAGATATATATTCGGAAAGCTTCGAACGCCGATTCCAAATAATGCTGTCCTTAGTTGCGGCACCTACTCTGAAGAAAGTTACGCGCACTTTTCCTGCGAAATTGGCATACTATCCAACCTGGGAGCGCTTGCAGTAGATGGAAAGTTGCGTAAAAACCGTGCTGGGATACTAAAATGGCATCAAATGAGTATTCTGTCACTGACAAGAATTTTAACGCAGCAAATTAGCACCTAGATGATGAACAATGCTAGTAGATCAGATTTTGTAAACAAAAAAAATCAATACTCCTCCAGAATAATGCGTCGCAGCTAGGAAAAACATAAGTTCTCCTATAAAGTTCCCTTACTCTTTCGTTGCTTGTTTCTCGACCGATATTAGGGATCGTTCATACCGCGCACAAAGGCGGACGAAGCCGGACGAAGCCGGACAAAGGCGGACGAAGGCGCAATCTCGTCTCGTCTCGTTTCTCTCGACACGCACACACACTCACACGCGCCTTCGTCCGCCTTTGTCCGGCTTCGTCCGCCTTCGTCCGCCTTTGTGCGCGGTATGTACGATCCCTTACGCACAGCTTAACATATTTAGCTTAAAGGCTTGACAACGAAACGAACATGAAAACTGATGAAAAAGAGGAGAATCACGACAACAGATTGAGTCATGCTTACGACTAAAAAAATTGCAAACTAAGAATGAACCGCCTTTTTCAAAAACATGCCTTGAACAGCAAACCATCACATCCAAATTTAAGCCGCTTACTCATGAGATAGTTCCTTGGAAGGAAAATGAGGCAATTCTACCCAGGACGCAAGAAGAGTTGGCGCGGATCGCACAATTTTTGGAAGGAAAAGTTGGAGCAGAAAGGAGTGAAAGTGTTGAGGAGAATGGAAATGCTTGAATGCAAAAAATAAACCGGTTCTGCTTACACAGGATAAAGAGTAAACATTGATAACCGATCCTTCCTTCCCAACGGACATCGCTTCTTTGAACCACACCGATGATTCATAAATCTGCCCTCGATCGCGTGCAAGACATCCGAGACGAAGATAACCTTTGCAATATGATGCACTAGAATGAGTGCACAGAATGTTAATTTGAAAAAGCTTACAATCCGTGTAATTTTCTTGTTCTCTCAAAATGCCTTTGTATAAAACTTCAGCGTCTTCGAACAAGCACAAGTGTTCCAAACATCTAGCGAGGTTGTATCTCATAGTGATGACATAGGAAGAAAGTTTCGAATCGCACAGATCTCCCTCCAAATCTTCCTGTAACGATCGAAGAGAATGAGCGAAGCTAAGCACATGCAACTTACTTGGAGCTTAGCTTCCGCTGCTTCGAAGTACTCCTTCGCCCTTTCATAATTTTCCAAAGTCATGTGCAAGGCTCCGATATTGTTTAAGATAGCAGCTGGAGGATCAATTTGTAAACCATCTTCGCTCGTTTTTATGAGATCACAAGCATTTTCATAGAGAGTGAGCGATTTCTAGAAGAGCCGGTTGTCAAAACTCGTAAAATGTAATTGATGATGTAAACTAACATGCGGATCAACTCCTTCCAGAAGCTGAGCAAGATCTATCAAAACTTCATCATCGTTTGGAGTTGCCTCCAAGACTTTTGTCAACACAACTCTTGCCTTGTCCTATCTATCAAGCCAAAAACGATATAGTGAGGATCTGCAACGTCTGATGAAAAGTCGATCGACTTGGTAAGCATACGTACAAGAGAGATAGCAATAAACGGATAATTTAGACGATACTTTTATCACAACAACACTAGATAGTCTAGATAGCGCGCATTTAAGAACGTCTCAAAATCTCAAACGTGGCTACGCGCCAAATCGATACGCAGCCTGCTCCGGATACCTCCCATTTCTCCGGCGGATACCTCCCATCTTCTGCTCCGGATACCCCCCATTTTCTGCTCCGGATACCTCCCATTTTCTGCTCCGGAGGCCTCCCATTTCTGCTCCGGACCCCTCCCATTTTCTCCGGCGCGTCTCTTCCAAATTTAACGGACACGCGCCGCGCAGATCTCTGCGGCGCGGAGTCCGTCAAATCTGGCAGAGTCGCGCCGGAGAAATGGCGGACCTTTGCAGCAGGGCCGGAGAAGCCTCCCATTTGCCTGCCAGTGATGCCACCGCGATGGACCGCCCATTTGCCCTTCTCTCATTGGTCAACTGGGTCCGGCGCGACCCTGGCAGTTTCCGAGGGTCCGGCGGAGGGGTCCCGTCGATTGTTTGAGATGGTGAAAATGATGGAGCTCAATCTTGCTGGAACTCGAACGGTGTGTCGAGTAGAAGTTGTTGTTACAACGAAGCTTATCTTATTAAATCAGCATTTTGTTCACATTGTGGCGGAGAGACCTCAAACTTTTGGCACTTGACGGTACTCACTTTGAAGACAATGTCCAAAATGAAGTTTGCCATGCAAATGTTATTTAGGAGGCCATTGCCAGAACTGCAGCTTATGCGAGTCATTCTTAGTGTCCCAACTTCATATTTTAAACCAGACCTTCTTTGAAGGGAAACAATCTACGTGTTGTACTTGAGACGGCCCGGTTTGGGCAAGGATGAAATTTTTCAGCATAAGTAATTGATCGGTCAGAGTTTGCAGGCATTATCGTGTGAATATATTGTAGGTAATGAGACTGTTGACGATGTTTAAAGTGCTGAAAGTGTTGCCGGTGTTGGAAGTTTGTTAAAATCCACCCGGTGGCTTGAGTAGGTTTTTCAGATTACCATGTGCAAATTTTTAGGTGGTTCAGAGAAATGAAATGGAGGACGGGGGGAGGGGTACTGCAAAACAGTGAAAACAACACCTTTTTATCTTGCATTCCCGAAGGAAACATCTTCACAAAGTGTGCACTAGTTCTAAAATACTCCAAATTGCTTGAGAACTCTGCCAGATTATAAGAAAAGCGGAGTAATCAGCGTTAGGACAAAGCGGTGCAGAAGGGTACACACCCCAAAAACCCTCATACAAATTTGGAAAGTAGAAGAGTGGCTTGACATAGATTTCCAATATTTCAATTTTCGATATGTTTTCAATATATAATGGTGCTGCTAAAATTTTATAAGCAATGCGCGTTTGTCAAATCCGTTTCTGCAGTCAATGAGCAAAAAACCAGCAATGCACAAGACTGGTAGAGGCGAAATAAGACTGCAAGACTTATCATTCCCACTTTCAACACCGTCCACACTTGCAGACTCTAGCTGATCCCTGAACCCTGGTATATTGCTCCTTTATCTGCCGTCCAGCAAAACTCTCACAACATTGTCAAGAAACCTGAATACTCACACTTGCCCAAACACTGTTTTTGAATTTGTGCAAAGTCTACATATGTAAAGTGTACAAACAAGTCTCTTCTTATGTACAATCCTTCTTATAGCTTTTTCCTTGTAGGAACGACAGCAGAGTCCAAGAAATTAGTACTTTCTGCCGTTTCTTGCCAAAATACGGTTTACTTATACTTGTACACAGGCAAGGTAAGTGGGCGATAGATAATTTAAAATTGGGATTGCGTTTCGATGGGCATTAAAACAGTTTTGCAATATCGAATTCTTGGAAATGGACTGCAACAATTTTTTCGCATCAGCCCGCTGTGAGAAAACTCCAAAAAGTGTTGATCTCAAAATTTATTTTCTGGATGAAGACGAGTACATGATACTTAACGATGGCATTCTTAATGTGCTAAAATTTGAAAATCACAGCGGAAATGAACGAGTGAATGAGTAAAGGGAAAGGACTGAATGAATACAATCAAAGAAAACTCTTTTGAACACTTTCTTCAAACTCAGATACAATTCTATATGCGCTGAGACATGTTCATTTTGCAACATACGACTTTCTTCTACATTTTACAATTAATGAGATCATTTTTCTGTCCAGAAATCATCTTTGAAATGCATGTTTTGATCTAGGAAAAAAATCTTCATAAGATTTAAGAAGACTGAAGAAGTTTACCTGCTACGGTCAGGAAAAGTCAACACGTTATGAATTACCTTAGCATGTTTTTTTCCTAAATTGGTAATTTATGAGAGCATTGAGAATCAAAAGCTATGTAGCCTTTTTTGGAAGGCAAAACATTTTGGAATGCTTGCTTCTTGATCTTCTTGCTTTCAGCAATGACTACAAGATACCCCTTTCAGATATGTCGCCTATGCAAGTTCAGCGAGGAAGGAAAGTGTGGCTTGAAGTAATTGCTACCGCCGTTTTATCACTTTCATAGCATAACCCTAGTGCACATCGTGTATTATTCTTCTGCCAGCCAGGTTGCGGTGGATCTTCAATGACCTTACGTTTCGATTTATCGTCTTCTTCAGAACTATGAAAAGGAACTGCGGTGATATTATCTGATGGCCTATACGACCACACTCCTCATCAGACTTCCGTCGTTTGAACCCCGTCTGGGCGCAATGTGCCGAGAAACAATCCAAAATAGGTTCACCAACTTCTAATCCCCTTGGAGTCAGTAGGAATGTGACGGACATCACTGAGGCTGCTCAGTGAGTCGAGGACTATATATACCGTGGGGTTTCAGGTCACATAATGACACAAGAGGCAAGAGATCAGCCGTTATCGTCATGCGCTCATTTTTGCTGTTCATGCCCGGACTTCCGGTGTAGAGCTTCTAACATTTTTCATGCTGAAATCTCGACCTCCTACACTAAAATTGTACACTTCACGCTAAAATCGTCACCATCGTGTGCCTCAATCTTATGTTTGCCCAATGGTGATGACACGTTTCCTCGCCTTTTGTGAGCCAGGTGTTCTTTCATCCTAACACTCAAAATTCTTCCATCTCTCCTATATACGTTGAGCCACACTTCAAGCATTCCAACTCATGAACGATACCCCCTTCGCGCAATCACCTAGTTTCCCGTAAGGGAAACGATGCAGTCTTTTGACAAAAATCTACGTTGTACATTCTGTTTCCGATCAACCGCTTTCTGATGTTACTGCCAGGAATCTTGACCACATTATCTCATTTTTCAACTGTGCTCGTAATATGCATCTGCTAACCGCTTTACTAAAACTATCGGAGACAAATGGCATACAGAATGAGATCTTGTTGTCACTGTTATTGCTTCGCGTAAGGTTACAGTTTTCGACTCGTGTAGATGTTCATTGTCAAGATTGCGCAATTGCATAGCCATTATTGCGAGATTTTAGATGACAACTGTCGCCATTCTTACCTTTCGCTTTCACCCGTAGGCATTTCTACAGTGGTTTTGTACATATTGCGAATAACAGAACGTTTAAGAGCCGCAGGATGCGCTGATGTAGCGTGGACGAGTATGCTCTTAGAGCTTTCCTGATATCATTCAATTCGAACAGTATCGTCAGACAAATTTATCTGGGTGTTTAGAAAGGGAAGCCATCCACTGGCGTAGTCTCGCGTGTAAGCTTGATTAACTGCGACTGATGATTTAGAATTCTAAAGCACCTATCTATTTCGGATTGTGTTGACGTCGGAATAAAGCAGTCATCGATGTATCGTCAGTACATTGATGGCAAGCGCGCTAACGCTGGCTCCTAAAATCTTACTCATGTAATAAAGCAAGAACTGGAGCGAGCCTCTGGCCCATGGCAAGCCCTCTGGTTTGGGAATAGTAATCTCCTGACCATTGAAATATGTTACAATTCAAGCAATCCCTTATGAGGAGCAGGATCACGTTTTGCTCAAGCCAAAGCTTACCATGGTGGAATGATATCCATCCAGCATCTCCGACAGAGCTTGTGAAGCGACATTATTTTAAACATTGATGTATAGTGACGTTACGTGAAAAGGCTCGACCACACAAATAGGTTTAGAACTCATGCTCCGCAGCTACTGTACAAACTGTTGAGTGTTGAACGAATGCGCAGGTACCCCTTGGCTAAGAGCTGGCTTACAATATTGTTCAGAAACTATTCGATCAGTGGGTCCACTTACGCAGCTTATTATAACGTGTTTTATATGACTGCGGTAACATATACTGTAATTTGTTAACCGCTAATTTGTGGGTCTTTATCAGGTGGTAGAAAAATGGGAATTTTGGATTATCCACTTTTAGTCTGTTGATCAACTTTTTATCAAGTCCAGCAGACTTCCCCACGTTCGTGCAAACCTTATTCAGTTTCCTACATTGCGCCTAATACTCTCGTTTCGTAGCGGGTTGATAGATCGTAGTATCGGAAGGGTACAGCCTTGCAATTTCTCGATCCAGCGGTTATGGTAACTACAATTTCACGGCCTATGTCACTTATAAAAATTAGGATCGCGTTTTCTTCTAGTAACTCACGTATTTCTTCAAAACCTGTAATTGCTCTCGCGTCAAGTTGTTTGCTGTATTCGCTTGAATCTGTTCGAAACGTGCAGATTTCGGTAGTAAAA